TGGTTCCTGACTTTAGAGGACTAGCTCTTGGTGGGCGGGCGCTGTCCCCACCTCCAGAACAGTAGTGCAGTGCTGCAGCCTTCCCACTGTGAGGACTCAGACACCCTCTCCTGGAGCCTGTGTGCTCCCTCCAGGGACCTCACAGTGGCCGCCTCCTCTGTAGGCCAGTGGTGCTTTCCCAGAGCTGACCGCTGGTTTCCATGATTTTGGATTCACTCGCACTGATTCGGGTCCCCTACCTACTGCCTGTTGGATGCAGCCTCCTCTCTAATGCACAGGCTCCCGACTCCATCCCTCTGTGGTTTCAATTTTCTTATCCCCTGGCCTCACTGGCTCCTCCATCTGTGCTGCCCACCCACTCACTACTGGTGCCTCCCTAGGGAATCGGGGTTATTTCCACGTTCAGTTTCTGACTTCTGTGACTTGTAGATCTTTCTATGTTGACAGTTCAGTCTTAAGCTTCAGTGGGCTCCCCAGTTGCTCACCTCACTGAGAAGCCGTCTTCCGGCTTTTAAGTCGGCTGTTGAGGAAGGGCTGGGGCTGCACCCTCCTTCCTCCGCCCTTCTTCCGCTCCTCGTGTCTCCGTCTGACTCTACCATTGGGCTTCAGCAGAAGACAGATGGATCTTTATGAAACACAGTGGAGCATCACATCCCGGTGGAGGTAAGAACCAAAAGGCTTGCAGCAGACGTCCTTCTTCATTTTTTGCAAAGTGAAACAGACTCTGGCACCTAGTACTAAGCTGCTGCAGTCTGGAAAGTGCCTTTTTCTTGACAGCTGCCCACCAGGCACATAGGAAGCTGTCAGCTGTGCTGGGTGCACATTTAGGAGTGGATCATCTCTCCAGTCATATTTCACTTATTTGGCTTTTTTGCCATTTTATCTCTCTTTATCCCACTGCTCCTTTCCACTGGTGGCATATGGTGACTGGATCTCTGGAGAGAAAAATTCAGGCAGAAATTAAGAGAAATGCAAGAAGAGTCAGGGAAACATGGCTTGTGCTGTTAGACCTGCATGTTTCCGGATGCCCCAGTCTTGAGAGGAACCCCGTGCAAAATGTTCTAAACCATCCTGTGCCCCAGAGGCTCCTTTTACGTAGGAGAGGCAGCAGGCAGCAGAACTGGGCAGTACTGGCCCACAGCAATCCAGGGGGCCAGGCCTGGACCTGGGGCAGGAGGGCGTGGACACTAAGCTCTGCAGTGTCCTCCTGTGACTGCCCTGCAGGTCATGAGCACTGGCCAGCTCCTCCACTTCAGTGAGCATTGGGGTGATACTTGTCTCTCTGGGTGACCAGCTCCTTTCTCCATGTACTATTATTTACTGAGTTTGAATATTCTCTTTACCTGTCTCAGGAATAACCGATGATCCTTTCCCATTTTGCAGTGAAAACCACTCACACTGTTGTAGTATCATCATGTTTGAAATAGCATGGAGTCCCACGGTCGTCATTTTTCCTTATTGTGACCTTAATACCTGACAAGAACAAGTTAGACTGACTGTATATCCTCTTCTAAAAAGTGACTGTTCAGGACCTTGGCCCATTTATTGATTTGTGTATGTGTGTGTGTGCTTAGCTTTTTAAATTTTTTAAATATTTTTTTTAGTTGTTGATGGACCTTTATTTTATTTATTGATATGTGTGCTGAAAATCAAACCCAGTGCCTCACACATCCTAGGCAAGCCTCTACCACTGAGCCACTTTTTGACTTCTTTATAAACCCTAGAGATTAGTGCTCTATCTGATGTGTAAAGGGTAAAAAGTTTGTTCCGAGGATGTAGGCTCTCTATTCACCTCACAGATTGTATCTTTTGCTGAGAAGAAACATTTAGTTTGAGTGCATCCCATTTATTGATTCTTGATTTTAATTCTTGTGCCTCAGAAGTCTTACTAAGGAAGCTGGGGCCTAATCCCACATGATGAAGATTAGGGCCTACTTTTTCTTCTATTAGATGCAGGGTCTCTGGTTTAATTCCTAGGTCCTTGATCCACCTTGAATTGAGATTTGTGCATGGTGAGAGATAGGAGTTTAATTTCATTTTGTTGCATATGGATTTCTAGTTTTCCCAGCACCATTTGTTAAAGAGGCCATCTTTTCTCCAATGCATGTTTTTGGCTCCTTTGTCTAATATAAGATAATTGTAGTTTTGTGGGTTAGTCTCTGTGTCCTCTATTCTGTACCAGTGGCCTGCCAGTCTGTTTTGGTGCCAATCCCATGCTGTTTTTGTTACTATTGCTCTGTAGTATAGTTTAAGGTCTGGTATAGTGATGCCACCTTCTTCACTCTTTCTGCTAAGAATTGCTTCAGCTACTCTGGGTCTCTTATTTTTTCCAGATGAATTTCATGACTGCTTTTTCTATCTCTATGAGGAATGTCATTGGGATTTTGATTGGAATTGCATTATATCTGGATAGTGCTTTTGGTAGTATGGTCATTTTGATAATATTAATTCTGCCTGTCCAAGAGCAAGGTAGATCTTTCCATCTTCTAAGGTCTTCTTTGATTTCTTTCTTTAGGGTTCTGTAATTTTCATTGTATTGATCTTTCATCTCTTTCATTAAGTTGATTCCCAATATTTTTTAGGCTATTGTAAATTGGGAAGTTTTTCTCATTTCCCTCTCAGAGGATTTGTCACTGATACAGAAATGCCTTTGATTTATGGGTATTGATTTTTTTTCCTGCTACTTTGCTGAGTTCATCATCGCTAGCAATTAGAGAAATACAAATCAAAACTTCTCTAAGATATCATCTTACTCTAGGCAGAATGGTAGCTATTATGAAGACATACAACAATAAGCATTGCAGAGGATGTGGGGAAAAATCATACATTGCTGATGGGACTGCAAATTGGTGCAGCCAATATGGAAAGCAGTAAGGAGATTCCTTGGAAAACTGATCAATTCCTTGGAAAATTGATCAAATGGAAACACCATTTGATCCAGCTATCTCTCTCCTCTGTCTATAAACAAAGGACTTAAAAACAGCATACTACAGGGACACAGCCAGATCAATGTTTATAGCAGCACAATTCACAATACTAAACTGTGGAACCAACCTAGATGCCCTTCAGTGGATGAATGGATTAAAAAATGTGGCATATATAAACAATGGAATATTACTCAGCAATAAAAGAGAATAAAATCATGGCATTTGCAGGTAAATGGATGGCATTGGAGAAGATAATGCTAAGTGAAGTTAGCCAATCCCAAAGAACAAATGCCGAATATTTTCTCTGATATAAGGAGGCTGACTCATAGTGGGGTGGGGAGGGAGATCATGGGAGGAATAGACAAACTCTTGATAGGGCAGACTGTGCTGACTGTCTACTTTGTGCACAGAAGTTGTTTAGTTTGATGTGGTCCCACTTGGTAATTGAGCCTGTGGTTCCTTTGTGTTTGGTGTCATTTCCAAAAACTCACCATCAGAGCCAAAAAAAGGAGACTTTCCCCTACATTATGCTTCAATAACCCTATGATTTCAGTTCTAATGTACAAATTTTTATTACATTTTAGGTTGATTTAAGTGTAAGATAAAGGCTCAATTTCATGTTTTGCATGTGCATACCCAGTTTTGCCAGAAGTGTTTATTGAAAAATATGTGAGGATATCTCAGCATCCCAGACAAGCTTTGATGGTTATTTCCCATAAATTAAATTTCAAAGTAGGAACTTCTAGCATTGAGCTAGAATCTGCAAGCACACTTGGAACCATCTGATCCAAAGGTCTCTTGTACCATGAGATGCACTTATTCACTGAATACAAAGCAGCCACAGTTACAATCATGTGAATCATCACAATTGTGTCAATTACAAAGGTCTTTGTCATTGACCAGTTGATCATAATGTCTGCAAAAATGAAGCAAATGAGGTTTCCAAGATCTTACTTGATCTGTAGAAGGAGTGAATATCCAGGTTTTGTGAATAGAAATCTGGCTTGGATCACCAGAACAGGGAATTGTGGCTTCTCGACCATTCACATCTTTGAGCTAGTTTGCAGACCCAAGATCCCTGAATGATTGGCAGCAGATGCACATGAGTAACATGGCTAGGCAAAAGAAGGGCACTCTTCCCCAGAGAAACATGCTGTCACTTCCTAGGGTGGCAGGTGGTGGGAGACAATGTACCTTTGGACATTTCAGAGATTTAGGGACTCTGGGTATGAACTGACAATTTCTAGAGATTCAATACTTCATTGTGACCATCAGTCAGAGAGTTGGTGGGTCAGATGAGCAATGTAGTTTATCTCAGGTCCAAGGTTTCCTATGTGAAATCAACAGTCGTTTAGGACTCACTGTTGATTTGTAGGTAATATATGGTTTGTGGTTGCTTTTAAGACTTAATTTTAACAAACTGACAATGATGGGTTTGGATATAAAATTACTGAGTTGATTTTGTGTATGATCCTCAGTTATTTTAAATTTGTAGGTTTGCCTTTTTGATTGTGTTTGAGGAGTATTCAGCCCTCTTTATTTTAAATATTATGCAATTTTTCAAAGATGGAATGCATGTAATGTACACTTTTACTTGTTAAAAATAGATCAACATAAGGAATGGCTATTTCCTGGGTATTTAAGTTTGCTTTAAGAGCAACAAGGTCATCTAAAATATTTTTCATTCCTTATGTCTTACACAAATACATATATCTGCAAGATTGTGTCCTAGATGTGAAATTCTTGGGTCACATTGTGATTAGTAAGTGGTTTTAGGATAACTTTCTAAATTGTTCTTCTGCATCTTCTGCAGAAGTGCTGGTAGTGAAAGAGCCACCTCACATGCCCGAGAACATCAGGCCCTTCCTGAGGGGTGGCAGGAAGGAGAACGGAGAGTTGGCAGTGATCTCGGGGTCATTGTGGAACTGTCAACAGCTTTGTGGCCTGAGGATGTGCCATTGTGTAAATGGGCTTCTCTTACTGGGATTTGAAACACCACAAACCTAACAGTAATTTCAAACTTGTTTATGGAAAGGACCAATGAAGTAGATATTTTCTCAATGCCTGTTTCTCTTACTGAGCACGCCGACACTTAGCCAGGTGTCCATCTCTGTGAATCAGCACCAATGGGCTAAGAATTGCATAACCAAGGGTCAGGATTTCTTGAGCAATTCTTGCTATAGAATCATGGTGTATGAAGAAATTTGAATATAAAGAAATAAAACAATCTGCCCAATAAAAGAATAGAAAACAGAACATCAGGAGGAGGATGCTTTGAGCAGCCTTCACCTCACGGGGGCTTCTGTAGAGGATCTTGGAGGTCTGAAGGTGGAGCACGTGCTGGTGGTGGTTGTGGAGGAGGGACACCATGTAGACACTGGTCCCGCCCATGGCACCCTGGAACACAGCATCTCTGAAGACCATAGGAGTGAAAAAAACACATCTGATTATCCCACTTCCTGGTAGAAAATAGCAGTAGTTGTCATTTGTACTGATTTCTGATGTGTTCATGCTGCTGATATTTTTGATGTAAAATGGTAAGTTCATGCTTATCAAGGAATTGAGAATCCAACAGAAGAGGAACAAGGGAAGCAGGTGCCATGCAGACCTGGGCTGCAGCCTCCCCCACCTAGAGGATCTGGGACTGATGGTGATGGCCTGGACCACTATGAGGAGACTGGTGGTGCAGATGGACAGGCCCCGGGCCACCCTCTCTAGGTAACCCAGTATCTTACAACCAACATGGTACAGAGAATTCCTCAAACCAAAAGCTGCTAATGTCTTTGTCATTCCCTTGGAAAGAAGCATTATGATATGTTTATAAAAGTCAGATGAATGAGAATAATGTCTATAGATTTCCTGCCAGTGCCCTTCAAAATGCACATATAATTCAAAGAAACAAAGATGTTCCCCACAATGCCCAGGCCTGTTAGAATGACAAGAAGTCTTACAACACCTTCCTGGGAACCTTCAGTATGAAGGTCCTGATGTAGATGGCCAGTTATGAAGATGACACCCTGTTCAAGAGGAGGCTCTGGGCCAGCCACGGAGCTACTCGGTTCTCAACTTTGAGATTCAGACACCAGCTGCCCAGGAGGCAGAAAGTTATGAGCCCAGTCTGATAATCATAACTGGGCTTCTCATACCTATGAATTTGGTTTTGCTAGTTTTAAAGAAACTTTCTCACAATAGCTGTTTTGATCGTTATATGGGTACAATAAATGTGCTGAGCTTGTTCTGTGTCACTATCTCCTTACCAGGGATCAATGAACCAGGGAGATGTAGCTTTTTCCTATTTGTGTGTCTATTTGTCTTTTCTCTATACCATCATTGCCCAGTCCGGTCATCTAAATTAAGGGCTGTGCCGATCCTGACACCTGGCTTTTTAGATTTCTACAGTTTTGTAGTATATTTTTTAAAATATTTATTTTTTAGTTGTAGTTTGACACATACCTTTATTTTTATTTATTTATTTTATGTGGTGCTGAGGATCGAACCCAGGGCCTTCCACAGGTTAGGCGAGTGCTCTACTGCTGAGCCACAACCCCAGCCCTTTTGTAGTATGTTTTGAGATCTGAAGGAGTGTAATGTCTCCTTTTTCATTCTTTTTTTTTACATAAGATGGGTTGGACTATGCTTTTAATTCTCTGAGGAATATCCAAATACTTTTAATATTGAAAAAGGACCATTGATCCCAGCCACAGTGCACACATACTATCGGAGCCATGTTTCCACACCCAAAGTTGTTTTTTACCTAGTTCCTTGAAAACACTTATTATTTCTTATCTCCTAGCTAAGAACAATCTAACAGCTGTGAGGTTCTGTCTTCTGGGAATTTTATTTGCAGCCTCCTGATGGCAGTGATGTTGGGTGCCTGCTCATACGTTTTGTGGACATTTGCACATCTTCTTGGGAAAATATTTTTCAAGGGCCTTGCCAATTTTAACTTCCTTAGTTATGGGTTGTTGGTTTTTTGTTTTTGTTTTTTTTTTTTGTGTGTGTGTGGCTATGTACCAATGTTAGTGACTTACATATATTGGACAGTAAAACGTTACTAGTCAAGGGTTTCAAATGTGGGTCTCATACCATTGCTGGCTTTTCATGTGTTGAGTGTTGACTTTGTGTGCAGAATGTATTTGGTTTGAAATAGTGTCACTTGGTAATTTCTTCTATTTTTTCTGATTTGGATGTCATACATAAAAACTCACTAAGTAGCCAAAGTCAAGGAGTTTTTCCCTATATTGAATTTAAGGAGTTCTACAATTTCAGTTATATTATGGAATCTTTGCTAAAATTTGAGTAGAGTTTTGTGTATGGTTTAAAGTTAGGGCCCAATATCATATTTTGCATGTGAGTATCTAGTTTTACCAACACCATTTGCTGAAGAAATTTATCAGGATAGCTCTGCATCCTAGATGAACTCTGTTGGTTCTTGGCTATCAGTTCAACATCAAATTGGGAGGTGCTAGCACTGAACAAGAATCCCTGAACACAAAGGGAACTATCAGATCCCAAGCACACATGTGCCATTTGGTGACACTAATTCACCAAGTGACAGTGGCCATGTTTACCATAATGAAAAATAATCAGAACTCTGAGACGCAGAGAAATTTTGGGCATTAATCAACTGATCATGGTGTATATAAATGGAACATATGGGAGTTCTGCCCAATCTTTCTGGATCTGTAGAATTCAAAACCTCAACTCTTGTGAGTGGAAATCTGAGTTGAATCACTAGAACAGGGTTCATGCTCCTCCATTAATGCCCATTCTGGAGCCAGTCTGCAGATACAGAGCTCCTTTGTGGATGGAGATGCTCATGAGGGACCTTGCTGCACTGCCAGAGCACACTGAATGCTCCCTCCCACTATTCCCAGTGAGACCTTCATGGACCTACATTGATGAGTCATAGAATGACTCATCATGGGAACAAGGGAACCATCAGACATTTCAGCAATTATCTGACACTGGTTCAAACTAAGGATAATTGCTGGAGACCCCAATTATTCCTGCATCCACCAATAAAAGGAGGGATTTAGTACGTTTATGATGAGTGAAGTTTTCTAGGGCCCAAGATCTCTTGTATGAAATCCACCATCAATTAGAAATGGTTGAAGACTGAGACCTGATGTATTCTTCTGGTTACTTTCTAGGTATTTCTTGTTCTAATTTTTAGCAAAAACAGGTCTGTGTGTACCCATTGCTGTGTCAATTCCTTGTAATAAGGTCTTCTGGGTTTCTGTATATGGAAGTTTATCTCACAAAATTAGAGGACTATCGGTCATCTCTGTGGTGAGCCGTTCCTGCGGACTGTGGTCGCCATTACATGATGGCGCTGGCTCCACTGTGGTCTGTGAAGGACAACTCCTTATCAGAGAAAGTTGGCGTATTGTCAACTCCTTATCAGAGAAAGTTGGCGTGTCGTTTTCTAGCACCCTGTGAGAAGGGTCCACGTGGCAGCTTCGCATTGGGGTTCGCGGTGCTTTATTAAGGCTGGGAGGGGCATCCGATTATTATTCCGGGGATTAGAAGAATTATTAGAAGAATGTCAAGGGCCTGAATAAACTGCTGAAAGAAGATTCCTGAGTCGCGTCTTTCTTGCGGGCAAGGGGGTCGTGACAAGTGGTGCCAAGACCCGGGAGAAAAAAGAAAAAAAAAAAAGAAAAACCCAGGAACCAGAACTTTCAGCAGTCAGGGAGGCGCGCCGGTAAGTCCCATGTAAGGTGGGACCCGCTGTTAAAAAGCGGAGGCTCCTCTATACATAAAAAGGGAGCGTTAAAAGATACCTGCTCCTCTGTAAATAAAGAGAGGGCGTTACATCCCATAGCAATTGCACTCTGTATTTTCGTTTTGTTTTCTGTGTATTTTCGTTTTGTTTTTGTGTA